AATAATGTAACTCGGAATGTAATCTTAAATCTTATTTCGGTCTCTTCGTCACGCTTGGGGACAAAGTCCCAAGCGAAATACTCTAAAGGATCCGCGGTGGCGTTCGTTGTTCATTGCTCACGAGCTTAAGCGTAAACATGATTTATTCGCGGATTATGCGTCGTGTCATCGTGGAAAAACGTATTATCGTCCCGGTGATGTCGAGCTTGCGCGCCAACGCGACGCGACGCGTCGCGATGCATGCACTTTTATTTATCCATTAAAGCGTGCGTTTCTTGACGTTGCTACGGCACGCCAGATCGGCATATGTTAAAGTTTATATATGTGTATATATTTAGTTCATATACACATACATGTCGTCCTTTCCCGAGAATGCATCCACTATTTCATTTTGTGCTTTTGCGAATATGGGAATACGCAAAGGTATATGGATCTATGTGGCCTGTTTCGTTTCGAGGTGCCTGTCAGATCGAGTTTTTATTTAAAAAAAATATATGAACCTTCTTTTGCATGCCAAAATGTTGGCTGCGTTTAGCAGAGAAAACTAATCAGCGCTTAGTGATTCTTTTGATATATGATTGGTTTTTGTCTTTTAATTCTTCGCTGAATCTAGTAGGACAGTGGCTACGTTTACACTGTGCGCTTAATCCGCGACCTATACGATAGGTGTCTTTGTTTAATATACAGGATAAACAAGGACGTCTATTGTATAGGCCGTGGACTAAATGCACGGTGTAAACGTAGCCAGTGCTCGGTATTAAGCCGCGTATACATCTAGCGAACGAACACCGAATGCGAATTGGACGTTTGTGTTTGTGTTTGTGAACAGTTTATTCTTTTTCTTGATTGTACCGAATACTAGCATTCGATTAAATTCGATGTTCGTTGCACATAGTAATTAAACGTACTGCGACTTTTATGTAACAAATAATAACATAAACTTTTGCGTTTGCTGTTCGTTCGGTGTTCGTTCGCTAGGTGTATACATGGCTTATGATGCACATTTCGGACTGATTCCAGCGAGCGACCCCCACTACCGCTCGAATCTCAGCGGTCAGGCGCCAATTGCTCACGTGACGCTCTGACTCAGGAGCGTCTCTATATCTTATTGTTAAATGTGCTGTGGTCATATCTTTCGTTGTTAAAGAATATCTTTCTTGCTAAATAATTTTTATTTTCTTAAAAAATAAAGTACTAAATTTTCTATCATTAATGTATTAATATGCTCCATATAATGATATAATTGTAGCAATAATACGTGTATAATAATTAGAGTTCCCCGAGAAAAAATGTTTTACATATAATTATATAAAATTATATAACTATATAGTATTTTATTTTTTAAGAAAATAAAAATTATTTAGCAAGAAAGATATTCTTTAATAACGAAAGATACGACCTCAGCACGTTTAAGATATAGAGACGCTCCTGAGAGAGAGAGAGAGCCAGAGCGTCACGTGAGCGATCGGCGGCCCGCTCGGCCGTTGAGACTCAAGCGGTAGTGAGGGTCTCTCGCTGGAATCAGCCCGAAATTGTGCATCTAATGCCCGTGTCACACTACGTATTGGAGATTGAGGATTGCGAATTAAGGATTGGAATTCGATCAATCAGGTAATTTTAAGTTTAATCCGTTTCGTTCTAATTTGGCTGAATTCTAATCCTTAATTCGCAATCCTCAGTTTCCAATGCGTAGTGTGACACGGACATAAAGCTGGAAACACAATGGGCACAGGCAATAGGCACAACAAGCAACAGGGAATAACGAGCCGTCCAATCAGAGCTCTGGGATACAATATCGAACTTATACTCCAGAGCTCTGATTGGACGGCTTGTTATTCCCTGTTGCCTGTGCCTATTGCCTGTGTCTATTGTGTTTCCAGCTTAATGCCGAGCACTGTAGTAGGAAGTGTAGGAATCAAGGTAGGAACCAATCATATTAAAAAATCACTAAGCGCTAATTGATTAGTTTTCTCTGACGAACGCAGCCATTATTGTACAGTCGTGGACAGAATTGTTGCAACATTTTTTTTCCGATGAGTTTCGGAATTCAGCCTTGCTCGTAAAGCGGTTGAATAGTTAAACGGTTAGATCCATAAAGTCTGTTCTATACAATAGAGTCGCAAGCTGCATCATAAGCCATAAAAAATTAACCATCAATCGTAGTCGATTATTTTTGTCATATTCAACTGTGATTGGCCAATTTCTCACAGCTTACAATTTGTGACCCTATTGTAGAACAGCTATAAATAAGAACCAATTGCTCCGTGAGGAGGCTTCATTCCGAAATCCATCGAAAAGAAAAGAGTGTTGCAATCGTGTTGTCCACGACTGTACACGCTAAATTCATAATTAAATTATACTAATGTTAATTAAAATTTAAAATATTTTCATAAAAAATATAATGTATTAACATTACACATGCTAAGCATTAACCGACAGCAGTTTAACTGAAAATAATCTTGTTATTAATTCCATAAAATTATTAGTGAAACAAATATATCACGCCCTTTTGTTTTAATAAGATATTTAATTTTAATAAGATATGTGATTTTAATAAATATTAATAAGTTATGTGTGATATTAATACTATTGTTGAATAAACAAGATTATTTTCAATTAAACTGCTGTTAGCTAATGTTATTCATACAATATCATTTTTTTTCCATATATATAGGTTGCTATTACTCCTATATATATCGTTAATTTAACTAAAACAATGGAATTATAAACTATTTAACTTAAGAAGTGTATTTAAGTCAAACTTAGTCGAGAACTTAGTTTATTATTTACTAAGTGCATACATTAATAATGTTAATTAGATGTTTATTTTGAAATCAAGCTTAATTACAGAAATAGATCGATTTATATTTTGACACACATGGAAGTAAAAAATAACAAAATGTTATTTTATTCAAGGGATTGAGTTACCATTGATTGTTCCTTTCATATCTAATAGTGCAATCGATTGAAAATAAAATAAATGATAGTTACACAATTTTATTATGTAGAGATTGAACTAAATTTTTTAATTTTTCTCAACATGTATTAGTTTTTTAATTATTACCTCTGTACTTCGTGGCATTTTTGTAAATTACACAACGTTGCATATTTCTGAGTTTATTCCGACATGTTTTTTGAACGAGAATCATCAATGGGAATAACTAAGACATTCGTTACTTGAGATTGTTGAACAACATTTAATTAAATATAAAATTGATAACCAATTAAAAGAAAATGCATTACTTCTGCATTTTCATTATCATAGATAAATGAAAAATTAAATTCTCTAATAAAAAATTATAACAAGACACTATTATTATTCATTCTTTGAAAGTGAGAATCAGTGTATTATTACTGACTTCAGTGTTATACTTATAACTGATGTAATCATTAGCAAATATTTACTGTTTTTTCGTAATAACATACTAATTCACTTTAGAGATTATGGTTCCTTGCAGATTGAAATGCAATTCGATCTGCAAAAAATCATAATCTCTAAAAGTGAATCAGTGTATCATTATTGAAAAACAGTAAATATTCATCGATTAGATCAATTATAAGTGTAGCATTGAAGCCCCTTGATTCACTTTTAGAAAACAGCTCGTGAAACGTATATTTTTTCATGATCTTATAAAAGTTTGTAATGTTGAATAGGAATATAGGTATCCGAGATAGAGATGTGTGTTCCAATTTTCAAAAGATCGATCTTCCTAAATATTAGCAATTTTAAATCGATCTATTTTGTGAGAAAAATTGATTTTTTTAACTAAAAAGGACTATTTTAAACCGATCTCTTTGTAAAGAATTGTTTCTTTTTTTTACAAAAATGGCAATTTCGAAACAATTTTTTTGTAAAAAATCAATTTTTAGTGAATGTGTGAATCGTATATCTCTGATTCAAAGTGTCTGTTGCTAATTATATTTCGACTAGTGAAATCACCATTTTCAGAGAGACATAAAGCAGTTTCGTCCGTCGAGTATTAACAATACGAAAGTCACTCTCGTACCAGTCGCGCATTTCATTTACATGTTTCAAAACTTTTTCCATGAAAAATGCAAAATGTTTGCGCGCTGTAAAACTGATGTATTTCACGAGCATTTTTAATCGTTGTTACTCATTAATAATCTCACTGCATTGTTATGTATAAACGAATTTCACATCCAGTTCTGTGATGGAATTAGGAAATGAAATGAGATTATACTACGAGAAATAATCTCGATTGATCAAACAATTCAACGAGTAAATCAGCAACACGAAATTTTGTAAATATTGAAAAAATTCGTATTTATATAAATTAAATTTTCACATTTCGTTGATATCAAATTGTCGCTTCTTGCTAAATTATTAATGTTACACTGAAAAAAACTAATAAATATTTGTTTGAATAGTTCTAAGTAAATATTTACTAAATGTAAACATATATTTATTTGATATAAAAATCATTAATTTGATTTAATTATCATTTTTTCTATAATAAATATTTATTTATTTTAAGTAAACGTTTACTTATTATTAGTATTATTCAAAGAAATATGTATTAAGATTTTCTTTCAGTGTAAACATTATTAGATTATAATGTTTGGAATATTTTTCTTATTTAATGTAACGCAGAGTTGTTTGTGCAATCCCTTGTGGAGTCCCCCATATACTGTATACCGTATATGTCTACCATTAACCTGCCACGTTATACGAGACCGCTCGCACGAACAATTCTCTAGTCGTAATTGCCGAGTCGACAATACTCTATCTTGGTCCTCTTTGCTCCCTCCGCGTCTCAAACTTTTACAGTTTACAAGTTTAGTTTTACGATGTAAAAAAAAACGCTCGGCTACCCCTATCATTTCCTTGTGCATGAAAACAAACGTGTAATTTCGTAACGCAGCAAGATTCGTTGTCGCGAAAGCGCTGCTTTAATTTAACTTTTTTAGTCTCTTTGATTTTGCAAAATAATGCTATATATTCGTAGCACTTGCGATAATTCGCACATTCTTGTCAACAGGATCGATCGACGGCCGGAGAGCGGCGCTCGAAGGTGGTGAACGTCGAAGGTGGTGAACGTCGAAGAGGAAAGAGGACGACGAGGAGGAGTCGATCTGCCGTCGAAGGTAAAGCGAGGTGGAACCGGCTGAAAAAGAGAATAAAAAAAGAGGAAGGCTGAAAGCGAAGAGAGACGCGGTGGTGGTGGAGACGACAGAGGGGTCGAAAGGTTGAGCGACCTACGGATCAAGACGAGGAGGAGGTGGCGGAGAGAAAGGGGTGGCGGAGAGAGGGTAGGAGGGGTAAGAGAAGGAGGAGAACGACCGGAGAAGAAGGACGGAGAAATGATCTTGGTAGGTGATTGGCAAAGTGCTGCGGTGGTCGACTCCTCGACGAAAGGCAGATAGCGCCATTAGTCGTTGCCGGGGCACGGAACATCAGGCCCATGCGCGTTGCGGCCCTGGCCGTGGGCGAAGAAGGGGAGGAGGAGGAGGAGGAGGAGGAAGAGGACGAGGAAGAGGAGGCGGAGGGCCGTACGGGGCACCACCACGGGGCCCGCGGGCCCGCGATGCGCTCCGCGGTTACCGCGACAGTGGGGGGCAGGAGTCAATGGTCCATCACGACGTGTCCGATTTTCTTTGTGTTGTTGCTGCTGCCCGTTTGGATTCCGATGACCGTCGTCGACGCGTCTCCCCTTCATCCCGCACCACCGTATAGAGGTGAGTCACATTTAGCTCTCTTTGTTATTCGTTAAAGTAAAATTGACTCGGTGTCCCCAAAGTTCGTATGCTAGGCTCCTATTCTTGAAAAGTATCGCATACGAAAAACTAGGGAAATACTATAATATATGTTACGTACACTAGTATTTTCCTAGTTTTTCGTATGCGATACTTTTCAAGAATAGGAGCCTTGGATTTGACAAGTGCTTTCAAATCGAGGACACATGTTGAATTCGAGATCGAGTTGGAAAAAATTGAATGTTCACATACTAATCCTTTTTCGCGCGTGATTATTTGATTTTTTGATGGAACATAGAAAATCAAGATTATTTTTCAGAGAATTATTAGTGGAATTTTAATAGAATAATATAAGGTCTGTTAAAGTGTCACATTTTTTATGCATTATTATTTTTATAATATTCAGGAACACTCATAATGTTAATTTAGAAAGTTTGATTCCATCATTTTTCGAAACGTATCTTGTCATTCTCATTCAAATATTTTTAGTATTTCAAATATTCGTGCGTGTGTGTGTATGTGTTCTTAAATACTTGAATTGTAATATTAAATTTTTTTTATATATCTGTCAATATTATTGTCTTTATTTTTAAGTAAATTAAGATTTTAGAACAAAATATATAAATATAAAACTTAATGCTCGTTATTTTCTTATATTATAAAATCGTTAATATTCTAGCCATTTATATGTATAATATTTATATTTATATAATATTATATAAGATATTAAATATAAGATATGTACATTTAATTTCTCACCACTGAAAAATCGTCGAGTTTGATTTAGTAAAGTTTAAATTGAAAAAATATTGGTTTAGTGGCGATCGTATACCCACGTGAGAGTCTACGGATGACTTATATCGAAATACCACGCCGGTCGATGTCCCGAAGGAGTCCGCCCGCGTCGGTAATGGCCTTAAAGTCCGATACTCGCCTTTGTCCAGCTTGTTCCTTTTGTGTCCCGATCGTTCGATCGGTAGTATTTACAGAAACAATGGTACGCTATCCTAAACGGTGTTGTAATTGTGATCTGGAAGCACGTGACATAAATTGCGCTTAGCATTCGCCCCATTGATCGTTCGAACCATTTACTTCGAAAGTTGCTTAAATCACGTGTTCAACGTCCGCTTGTTAAAATATAGATATACCACGTAATATGTAATCTTATCTTAGATTTCTTAAATTCATCGGTTAGTACAAAAATTGAAAAGATTGAGAAAAGTAATTGATGAAAGCTATTAAACAAACCGTGAGACAAAACAAAGATTTATTACAAAGACAGGGTTCCCACAGATCTGAAAAACCGGGATAACCGGAAAATATCAGGGAAATTGAAATTGGCCAGGGAAAACCGGGTAATGTCAGAAAAAATATAAAAGAATCTGGAATTTTGAATTAAAAGAATCTGGAATTTTGAACTTTGTTCGCAATTCTTTTAAAATGCTTTTATTCCAAATAATTGTTATAATTTTTTAAACATTATATCTAACGTTTATAGTTAAATACGTTCAAAACTCGACAATTTTTGGTATAACTTAATTATAACAATGAATGGATCAGAGAAACTTTTAAATTTTCTGAAAAAGATTTTCATTTTAAGTCATGGAAATGCATTTGTAGAAAGAGGATTTTCCATCAACAAAGAAATTATCGTTGAGAATCAACTTGCTAAATCTTTAATTGCGCAGAGGCAAGTTTATGATGCAATACAAGCGTTAGGCGGCTTAAATAATGTAGTAGTTGACAAGCAAATGATTCTCAAAATACGAAATGCTAGATCATTGTATAGTGAAGCTCTTGAAGAAGCAAAAAAAGAAAGACAAACACAAACAAATGAAAATTAAAAAAAAGAGATTAAATTATTGATGAAATAGATGAACTAAAAAAAAAGAGATTAAAAATTATCACTGAAAAACAGGAGGAAATCGATTTAATAGATGAAAAAATTCATGAGCTCCAAATATCAGTTCGAAAATAAGGACGATTTTTTAGGGAGTATTGAAAAATAAACTAGTTTATACATGAGTCATTTTGTTAATAAAAGTAATTGTTCTTTTTTTAAATATATAAATTAGACATTTCTCAAAATGTTAAGTTTTTTGTTCCGTATAATTTAATACAAAATCAGTTTAATTGACATTGTTACGGGGTATATATATACGTTATATAGTTAAGGTATATATTTTATCAAATGTATTGTTTACTTTTTAACAGTAAAATAAAAATAATCAGTGATTTCAATAAAATAATTGAAATTTATATTTTATTCACTATTTTTATTTGATCGCTCCTTTTCATCACACACACACACACACACACACACACACACACACACATAATTGCATTCTTTTTCTCAACACTTATTTATTTTATGTTAGCCTGAATTTGTACAAGATTTTATTATACTTTTAATTTTTTGTTTTGTTTAGTAACATAGGCTTATTTTCCTACTACTTCTGCTTCCAATGTTAAAATTTACGTACTTATACTGAGAAAAAAATATCTTAATTTCAAAGAAATTTTCATTGATCCAAAGTAATAATTTGTTTGAATACGAGCAAAGAAATATTTCTTTGAAATTAAGATGTTTTTTCTCAGTATAGAACCTTGATTATCCAAATCTCAATTACCCAACATCTCTATTATTTGACCTTGTCGTAATTAAATTATTTCTGTCTACATAATATTCCCCTCTTTTTAAAAAATCTCAATAAATCTAGTTTACATTAGGTCCGATAATCGATGTCATATTTTATGTTGGTCAGGGAAAATTCTTCATTCTCATCTGGAAAACCTGGAAAAGTCAGGGAATTTCCAAATTCATTTTCTGTGGGAACCCTGAAAGAATAAAACGATAACAAAAGAGTCTCACGCACATTAATAATCTTTAGAAATCCTTAAGAATCTGAATATTCGATACAAATATGGCGGCAACATTTGAATCTTTATTGCAGAGTATATAGGTTTCCGTAGTCCACCTTATACTTTCTACAATGTCGCCATATTGTATCGTGAAAAGACTACTGAGTATCCAGATTCTCACTTGAGGGCCTCTATTGTATTCTTCTGTGCACCCACATGTATTTAATAAACGCTGCGTTACAATTATAATATAATTAATAAAATTATACCGAATAAATAGAATTTTATTTTTCACGTTCCTGAAATACTCGTTGAATTCTTCAATCTTTGTTTTTGCGTGAAACAGTATTAATTTTTAAGTTCTTTAAGTGCCACTTGCGTGCCGTTAAAATATTTTTCTGTATCAGCGAATTGCTCTCTTGCATATATTATATACATTTCGACTTAATTTTTTATTAGTAATAGCACTGTATGATTAGTGGGAGTTATTTCAGTTACGCGCGCGTGTGTATATGTGTATGTGTACAACTACTATAAAAATATCGGAATTTTATTAAATTTGTTATATTGAAATCCAGTAACAGGACTGACGGTTAAGGTCATGGTACACACCTTTCGTTACAGTAAGACATACCGTAAGAATCAGCCAATCACAAATCGAAAAATCACAAGTCGAAAATTCTTTTGAACTCTTAATTCTAATTGGCTGATTCTTACGGTACGTAAGTCTTATGGTTACTGTTACGGAAGGTGTGTGCATTTTCTCAGTAAAGTGGACGCAAAACAAGTGCACTTCGGCTGCTGCACTTGTCCGAGATCTGAAAACGCGTCTCTGAGGACCTCTCTCGGCCGAGTGGTCGTGGTGAATGCTCGAATATTCGTTTCCTCTTAAAATTTCCGTGATCTTTTCATCCCAAGATACTAAGAGAGTTTTCGCGAAGTGAGTGTAACATTTCACATCGTGTCTCGTGTATATAATACGCGCGAAAATAAATTAATTGATTTTGCAGCGCTTTTGCGATGAGACGTCGGCATCTGAAGTGAATAGATTTAATTGATAGAGTGAAAGAAGGTCTTTGATATAAAATCATATTAGCGACAGGAGATCCAATGAAAGAGTTCATATATAACTGTAGCTGCATAAATATTGCAAGTATTGTCATTGCTAAAAGGCAAAATATTTCCATGGCTCTCAGATTTATTTTAATGATTAAAAAAAGAAATTTTAAAAATTTGAGCTTCGCAACTTACTCTCATTGATACTTTGTTTACGATTGAGATTTAGATTGCATTTCTATGAAAGGATAGATATTTTTGTATACACGATGTTAAATATGACTATCCAATTTTAATCTGCAGTAAATGTGGATATTATGTGGATTCAGTGGAAGTTTGTATTTTTATAACATATTAATATATTACATGTAAACATTCGATCAGAATTAGGAGTTCCGTAAATATGAATGTGTTCATTCAAGCTATTATTGTGCATTTAATGATAAACTGTTTGATTTTACATTCAATTGCGACTGTCGTGAAAGAGATCAGAAACAAATTATAGTTTCTAATTTTGAACTTTTAACCTTAAGTAGATAGGTGCTTAGAAAAAAAATACCCCAAATTTTATTTTTATATAGATATATTTTTTAATAGAATATGTATAGGATTAAATTTATATTGTTTTTATATTTTTATGAGATAGAAGAACATAAAAATAATGAATTTTAAGACCTTCTAGACGGTACTTTTTATTTTTCTTTTGTAGAATAAGGTTTTAAAATAATTATGTATGGGGGTGCAGCTCTCTCTGTGACCACCTATTCACTCAAAGGTTAAATATGAAGACAAGGTACAAAAATGTCAAAATTTATTTCTATTTTCACGCGGTATATATAAATTATATTATACCTAATTTTATACAATGATCTTGGTAGATAAAAAAGCTGGTGTAGTCATCGTGTTTTTTCCCATTGTGAGCAATCAAGCGCGAATTATACATGCTTTAAGGTGCGTTTACATCACGTGGCAGAACTCAATTACAATATAACGAAAAAAAACTACGATATGTTAGAAAAACTAGTCTGGATCGGTTTTTTTTAATTTTGTATTATTAAAATAAACTCTCAATAACGGTATAAAATTATCATTCTTTAATCATAATAGAAATTTCTTTAACATAAAAAGGAATTTAAAAAATATTTTTTAAAAATAATTTTGCATTTATAATTGTACATTTGTTTGTAGGAAAAAAGTCTACTAGTACTAATGACATGAATCTTTTGCAGTTTTCGAATGAGTTTTATGTTGCGTTCCTTTTTCTTCGTTTTATAAAAAAGAAAGTTAATGGGACGATTTCTTTTTATTTATCTGAGAATCATGAACGCTTGTTTGTCTTCTCAATCACGCTTTTGGTCACATCTGATACAAACGCATCTTTACGACGCAACTCATCTTCGCGTGACTCGCGCGATTTACCGTTTGCGCAATGCATTTTTCTTAGACAGCCACTAATAGAACATCCGTTTTCCTCATTGTGTGCTTTCCAGATATCACGCGCTCGTATATCAGGTACTATGAGGCAGCCATATATGACACCGTAGCCTTGAAACGACATCGCAACCGGATACGTCGCGACGTCACCAACTCCGAGCAACCTCTGATTTTGAACCTGAAGACACTCGATAGGTGAGTATGAGTTCTATAAGCAAACTCCTCTCTATCTCGGTACACACAGCACTCTTCCCTCGCTCGCAGTATGTTCCGTGCAAAGACGGAGAGATCGATACGGAATCTGAGCATCCAAAGAGTTTGCTGAAATATCAGGATCATCATCGAACGTCCAATTTTAAATCAAGATAAGGAATGTCTTTGAATCTTTTGAAAAATTTAAAATTCCGGATTCGACGATTCTACAGTGGTTGAACAACGTTGAAGAATTTTATGTGATTTAACAGTACAAACGGAAGTATCTCCGAGTACGTTACTATTATATGACCTCTTGCAAATGGCATTTCGAAATTGGCGAATACGTGTACCTCCTACACACTGCTCGTAAAGCGATCGTGGACAAAGTTGCCAGTATGTGCCGCCCGCACGTTCTCGGTATGTCCTTGTTAGGTCAGTGGTACCTGAATCCGATTAAAGAGATGGTGGCCAAGAGACTAACTCAACGTATAGCTTAGCTCGTATAAATCACACGCGTGCAGTGTTGTGAAATTATTTCACTTTATTAATTATACGTATTAATTAATGCGAATATGTCTTCTCTTTCTTGCTCTGTCTTTGTCTCTCTTTTTTCTAAGATAGAAATTTGTGATCTTCATCACGAAAGAAAATTAATTCTGTTTACTAGCGTGTTTCGAGTCACTAGACATTCACCTTTTTATATCACATAGGTCATTTTTTATTTTTACTTTTATAATAAAATATTTCCTCTTATATATCCTGCTACGTCCAATGAAACACATGGAAAATATGGTAAATGTTAATGTGTTTTCTGAAGTGATAAATTTTTGATATGAAGCAATTACGATGATAACGCTTACAGTTATAACAATTCAAACATGTACAGAAGACGCTCTCTCTGTCCTGTCTCCTTTTCGCGTTGAATATCATAATGTTTGTGCTCGCATGTCGAACTGGATTTACTATTGGGAGCAGCAATCACGGAGTTTCTCTCTCACGATTATTTAATATAAGAGATGCAACAAACACAAATGGCAGAAAGTTTAATTTATGACAGCACTGCAGTTCAGCAACAAACATACCGCGCTCTAACCAGTGTCGGTGTATTATGACGGAACCGTTTAAATATTGAATCGCGCTTTCACTCGCAGCGTATTTACGAACTTAAGAAATAGCCGTTAGGTAACGGTCCGACTTCGTTTTATCTTCCGAATTTAATTTTATTTCCGGTATACGATGTGACTTTTTCGAATTTTTCCTAATCTGCTTGTTTCTATACCGCATGTACATAAACGAGCAAATTATAAGCTTTTCATTTCCCTGATATAAATATATATTGTCTTATTTATTATTAACAATATTTTTTATAAGTTGCAAAATTACGGTATGCGTTTGTTTATTATTTTTTAATACAGAATGTAATTGAAAAAAATTAGCCTTTTTGTTAATTGTGAAAAATTATGTCTTTTGATCTCAGTTCATAAAGTAAATTTTAATTTCATAGTTTTACATATAACTTTAATTCAAACATCAGCCATAAACAATAAAATTTTCTTGTTTCGTGCCAAATAACTTAGGTACATATTTTTTAGAAGACCTGTTTATATCTTATGACGTGTCTTTTAGATATTCACGTTGTCTGAGATTGTTCAAAAATAGACGAATTTAAATTAGTTTAAATCAAACGGAATTTTAAATTTTCGATATTCCTTTAATTGTAATCCAACACAAATACTAAAATGATTATAAATGAAATAGAAATTAAATTAATAAATGAGATAGAAATTGAGTCTATAATTTTAGGATTATTAACAGAAATGTCGGCATATTCGTAATAAAAAGCAAAAATAAAAAATAAAATAAATTTCTATTAATGTCTTTCAATTTTACTTTTATTGATTTTTTTGTCTTCTTAACGTCACATAATTTAAATTTTCTTTTCGTATTGAATTAAATTTGTCAATTTTTTGCGCTAGTACGTATTATATTATTCCACACTGTTATTTTTATTTGATATATTTATATTGCTTATCAGTTGCAGTAAAATAAAATTAATTTATTACTTTTTAAATTAATTATTAGGATTATTTACGTATATATATATATATTAGTATCAATATTAGTACAGAAAATACAATGTATATATCTTTCTAATTATACTATTAGATAATTATATCCATCTATAATAGATCATATTTAATGAATTATGTAATTGCATTAACCGCTTAATTCGGTCTATTTGAAAATTTACGTATAAATATGCATAGAAAACAGAAACTGTCTTTTCAATTATTATACTATTAGATAATTGTATCAATCTATAATAATAGATCGTATTAAACGAATTATGCAATTGTATTAAACCCGCTCAATTTGGTCTGTTCGGAAATTTCTGCATTTCGCGAGGAAAGTGAGACAACGTTAAACACATTTGTCGAACTATACATTATGCAGGAGACCGTGACGACTGCGTGCACCATGTATTGTAGATTGCAAAGTTACAACGAATGGTCCAGCATCTCAGTGGCGAGATGACTCGGTAGAAATGGTTTATATAGGGCGTGAGCCCATCGGCGTCATTTCTCCTTTCTTCCTACTCTTTCCACCCTCTCCCTCCCTCTCTGCCTCTCCCCTTGGGGAAAGGAAAGGGAGACAAGTTCTCGAGAAAATTTCGCCCGTAATTCATAGACGTTAAGCTAATTAACTGGCTGGTACTTCTTGATCCGTAAAGAGGAAGAGGAAGAAAGAAAGGAGAGAGCGATTCTCTCGGCGAAGTCGAGGAGTCAAGGAGCGAGCATAGTCGAATCCCGTGATTTCCGCGTGCTGGATTTAGACGCGTGTAATTACCATCTAATTGCGACGACGACGACGACGACGGCGACGGCGACGATAACGTGATGTCATTGTCCTTCTTTCGCGTCTTTCGCTGGTGTGATTACTCGTTACTTTCGAAAATTTGCCGCAGAGGAAATCCGTTGCTCTACGTGTGTCTCCTTAAAGTTGTGGAATTAGGACGTTGGCGATGTTAGCGCAACTGGTCTGTGTGTTGGGAATAGTTGTCTTCTTCCTCTGAAAAAGAAACGTGGTATCCTTTGTATCTTCGCTTAGCGGGAATGAACGTTGTCGGAACAAGGTACAATTAGAACAGTATACGTTTAATGTGTCTATTTAAAATTTTTGCATGTAAATAAATAGAAAACACTTTACATACTTGTGCAATTTTTAGCAGAGTCAATTATGCTACAATCGATCGCGATTGCCTGATTACAGGCCATTTATTTCATTGCGCTATGACTCGCTGTTATCATACGACTGTGCATTCCATCGAGCACACAATATTCACTACCGTTCTACGTTCCAGCAATTCCGGAGAGTATCAGTCTCGAAAGAATTTTAGTTCACGAAGAATTTTCTACGTAAAACTGTCCGAGGAATGTTAAATAAATGAGTACGAGAAAAAGCCAACTAGAATAGTAAAAAAGAGAAGGAGAAAGCGCGCGTGCGCGCAAGAGAGAGAGAGAGAGAGGAAGGAGATACGTATTGGCATTCGCGTTTCACACACCTCCTGCATCGCAAATTTCTCATCCTGGGCGACAAACGGCACGCAGCCCTTCTCAAGCTGGTAGGAGACACGAGAAACATCCCTCGATCTCCACCTTCTCCTCCTCTTCCTCTTTCCTCCTCCTCCCCGGTCGCTTTCACAGTCCGCCAATGTAACTACAACGTTCGTCTCTTTATGTAAATCGGTCGAATCCACGTCGGGCAATAAAATGTAAAGCAGGAGTGCGCCGTGCGATTCCCTCCATCTCTCGTCGTCGTCGTCGTCTTCGTCGTCGTCGTACCAAGCGCAACATCCTCCCTCGTCGCCACTGCAAGACGGTAGCGTTTCTACCCCGCTGCACCTGGTACAAACTGGCAAGATAATAGTTGAGGAGAGGAGAAGAAAGAAGTTTCTGTGTGACACACACGTTGTCGTTCTCGTCGTAGCGGCCTCCACTTTGGTGACCGTTCTAGTCAAGTATTGTATTGTACGATTTTCCTTCCCCTTTTTCTGTGTCGCCGTGCGACCAAGCGAATTTATTGGCCATATCGCGGTAAAGTTGCTGGTTTATTCTCATGCTTTGCGAGAGAAGTCCGCCGTTCGTCTTTCGTGAATTCCGTCGCGGCATTGTCCGCGAAGTGCGTCTGCGATTAGACCGCGATATATTTGTTCTACTTTTTCGTTTGCTTTGGATTCTGCGAGATAAATTATAAAAATAGTCGGCGTGCAAAGAGCTCCGCTATAATCCTATTATTGGGGATCGTTACGTTATTAAAAGTCAATTTTCGCTTAATTTTTATATAATATTTTGAAACTGCAAGAAAGTTAGGAAAGAGTTAGTTCCAGAAAAAGATTGAAAGATCAAAATCTGTATTTTAAAAAAGAAATACAATTTGTTGGACGACACTTTACTCTCTTTATAATATATTGATAGAATATATATATATATTTTTTGTTTTCTAAAACATTTATAATATATAAGAATATTTACGTCTACATAGAAAAACTACTGTTTTTTTAACTCTGCAATCTGGGTCTTTTTTTGTCCAGCTCCAGTTTTTACTATTTTAGTAAAGGCTTTCAAAAAAATGTTGAAAAGGTTTTCAACATCTCTAGCTATTACAAAGTTTATTAAGTCAAACGTAAAACCTTTATTTAATCTGCCTTTCTTTATTTTGGAGAAATTTAAGAGTGAAATTTCGCTTGTGTGTCAAAAAACATCTAGATTGCAGACGTTAATATATTTTTCTTACATTTTTAGAAAATACAAATTTTTTCCAACGACTCGCAATAGTTTTACCGGTTTTTGTTTGACTTAGCCACATGAGAGAATAAACTTTGGCGTTATGTCCTCAGCGATTTTATAGTATATAGTCTAGTCTTGGGAAGCAGTACGGTTAAGCCAGGAATAGATATTGTGTACAGGCGACACCTTCTCACTTTTCTAACCGCCGCGCGC